ATACCTTTTCTACCTGGTACCAAGGGAATAGGGACAAGGAAGTTGAGGAGTGGGAAGATGGAGGATACGCAGGACCGGAACATACCTCCTTTAGCCTTTGGGGCTGCCATGAAAAGACATAAGTGGCTTCCCTAAGGGTTCTGCCCTTGAGATCACAAGCTCCATGGACTGATAAGGTTCAAGTAGGACATGGCACAAAGCCAGGTCATGGCTACAAGTTTGGGTGTTGGATCCCACCCTCAAAATATAAAAGAGTCAGGACTATGAGGGAGAAGGAACTGGGATTGGTATGTAAAATAAGACTGTTCTTAATTTTTTTTTGCAGATTTTTTATTTGAATTAGAAACAAGATTGTTTTACATGACAATCCCAGTTCCCTTCTCCCTCCCATCCTCCCCTACCACCCCCCAACTAAAACCCTACCTGTGTGTTCCCCCTGGATGGTGAGACCTTCCATAGGTTGTCATCAGAGTCTATCCTTTGGGATAGGGCCTAGAACCACCCCCGTGTGTCTTGGCTCAGGGAGTGTTCCTCTACGTGGAATGGGCTCCCAAAGTCCACACCTATGCTAGAGATAAGTACTGAACTATTACAGTAGGTCCCGTGGATTTCCGAGGTTTCCTCACAGAAACCCATGTTTCTGGGGTCTGGATCAGTCCCATGCTGGTTTCCCAGCTATCAGTCTGGGGAGCAAGAGTTCCCTGATGTTCAGGTTTCCCCAGCCTGCTCTGGACCCCTTTGCTCTTCACTCGTCCTTCTCTGCATCTGGATTCCAGTTCAGTTCAGTGATTAGTTGTGGGTGTCAGCTTCTACTTCCATCAGCTGCTGGGTGAAGGCTATAGGGTGGCATATAAGTCAGTCATCAATCTCATTATCAGGGGAGGCATGTAAGGTAGCCTCTCCTCTGTTGCATAGATTGTTAGCTGGTGTCATCTTTATAGATCTCCAGACATTTCCCTAGTGCCTGATTTCTCTGTAAACCAAAAATGTCTCCCTCTATTATGGTATCTCCATTCTTGTTATCTTCTATTCTTCCCCTGACTCAACCTTTCTGCTCCCTCATGTCCTCTGCATCCCTCCTCTGCCCCCCTTCTCATGCTCCAAGCTCCCTCCCCCCTCTTCCCCTGCTCCCAATTTGCTCAGGGGATCCTGACCCTTTCCCCTTTTTCTCTATCCATTCTTTGGTTGAGGGACATCTAGGCTGCTTCCAGGTTGTGGCTATTACAAATAGCGCCGCTATGAACTTCGTTGAACAGATGTCCTTGTTGTATGAATGTGGATCTTTTGGGTATATGCCTAGGAGTGGAATTGTTGGATCTTGTGGCAGACTGATTCCACTTTTCCTGAGGAACCCCCATAGTGATTTCCAATGTGGCTGTACAAGTTGGCACTCCTACCAACAGTGTAGGAAGCATAAACTGTCATTGGTGTTTTTGATTTTGGCCATTCTGATAGGAGTGAGATGGTATCTCAGAGTTGTTTTATTTGCATTTCCCTGATGGCTAAGGATGTTGAACTCTTTATGTGTCTTTCAGCCATTTTAGATTCCTCTATTGAGAATTGTCTATTTAGCTCTGTACTCCACTTTTTAATTGGGTTGTTTGGTGTTTTGGAGACTAGCTTCTTGAGTTCTTTATATATTTTGGAGATCAGCCCTCTGTCAGATGTGGGGTTGGTGAATATCTTTTCCCAGTCTGTGGGCTGCCATTTTGTCTTGCTGACTGTCTCCTTTGCCTTACAGAAGCTTCTCAGTTTCAGGAGGTCCCATTTATCAATTGTTGATCTCAGTGTCTATGCTACTGGTATAATGTTTAGGAAATAGTCTCCTGTACCAATTAATTCAAGGGTATTTCCCGCTTTGTCTTCTAATAGCTTCAGTGTGGCTTGATTTATGTTGGGGTCTTTTTAATTTAAATAAAAATTAATTTGAAAAAATAAAATGCAAAAAATAGACTCAGGACTAGAAACAAAATTCAAAAATCCCTCATACGGGTTTCACAAAGAGGTCACTACCAGCAGTTAGGCAGGAATCTAGTTTTTAATTGATTACATTTATTTGTTTTTATTGCAAAACAACATGGGTTTTTATTGAAATGTTAATGAGGTGCATGAAGAATGAATATTTGTAAGTAGTGATTACACAGTTGCACCAGACATGATGACACATATCTGTAATCCCAGTACGTTGGAAACTGAGGCAGGAGGCTGGAGCGTTGGAAGTAAGACCAAGGGTATATGTCAGGGGAACAAAATTAGTAAGTAATACAATTTCTTGTCTGAAGTAACTGAATCTATTACTTTGGCATAGTTTCTGTATCATGTTTCTAGTACAAAATTAAAACTATTTGACTATATTAGATACTTATGTAAATAATATATAATGACGATGTATGTGATGAGTATACATATGATAATATAATCTTGAGGGGAGAGAGAGAGGAAGGGAGACCAAAGAGAGGGAGAGAGAAGGGAGAGGAAAGGAGAATGGAGGAGGGTGGGGAGGGAAAGGAGGGGGTTCCAGAAGGCTCTTAAGTACTGGTCGATATCAGGAGACACCACTCATCCTTGGAAACACATTGTGTCTTTTTTAACATTAAGACCTATTGCATCTGTAAACCCAGCACTGGGGCCAGGGGGACAGAAGCAGGCAAATGTGGAGCCTGAAGCTAACCTAGCAAAGTCAATCTTAAAAATCAGTCACTGCTTATTGGGTATTTTAAGAAAGAGAGAGAGAGAGAGAGAGAGAGAGAGAGAGAGAGAGAGAGAGAGAGAGAGAGAGAGAGAGAGAGAGAGAGAGAGAGAGTGTGTGTGTGTATTTCCCCTCTTCACTGCCAGGATAAGCTCTTGCATTGGGTCCCAGGTTTGGAATCTTACAGAAAGCAAGTCCTGGGCAAACCTAGGCCTCTGACGGAGCTCCGCCCTCATCCGACTCCCAGGATTAGCTCCTTCTTGCTCTTCTCTGCAGCCCTTCTACCACCACACGCCAAATCTCTGAGCTGCCTGTGTATTTCTGGTTACACCCCTGCAGGAAGGACGCCCTTCCTACCATAGTGACCCCTTTACAGAAATTTATGGGCCCAGGGTGAGTCTTCCAAAGACAGTTTCTGGAGCAGACCCAGAACAGAGCAGACCCAGACCGGGCTGAGGGCCTCTGGGGTTTGCTGCAGTCCCGGCAAGAGACCGAATTTCCTAGGTCCCTGAGAGCAAGCGATGTTGGGACAAGGCAAAGCTCTGGGCTCAAGGCTTCTTGGTGTCGGTCAAAAGCTAGGTCTGTGGTTTCCCCACCTCGATGTCTTCGGCGCATGTCTACCTATCCAGCTCTTGCTCAACGGGTTGCTTCCCCCAACCCCCAAGCTTCATCAACAAAAGTCCGATGATTTCTGCCCTTAGACATTTTTCATTATGAAGTGTTTCAAAGTCACATAACAAAAATGTGCAGTTTTTTTTTCAGATACTGACATTTTATCACCTTCGTAACCCCCCCCCCAATTCCTTCTGTGCTCTCCTACCCTCCTGCCCCTTTTCTGAAACCTAGCCTTCCTTGAAAGCATGTTAGCTTGTACTGTTCCCATATAATTTTTTACCTTTTACGTGTATTTTTACATAAGCAGCATGCATTTTAATTCTGACATTGGACCTCCCTGCCCCTCACCCTGAAACTCATTATGAGATCTTACCCTGACTTCTCTTATCAGAGCGATACTTAGTAAGCATGTCAGCAACCTGCTTTCTTAGCTGGGAATGCAGTGAGGGGCTGTACTTCCTGTCTCTTGTGTGGCCTTTACCTGGCAGGACCTGAATTCTGGTTATTTTGTTTTGTTCCAGGTGGTCCCTCTAAACCCCTGCCACTAAGCTCACCAGCCCAAAGGACCTTTGGTTGATATTCATATGATTTATTTGGGAGAAAGGCTATTGAAAGGAGATTGGGAAAGGAAGTGTGGTTTGTGTGTGTGTATCACAACCCTTCTTGAATTCAAAGAATATATATATATTTTTTTTTCAAAAAAAAATATATATATATAAATATATATATATATATATATATATATATATATAATTTCTCCTGAAAAAAAATACACTGTATCTTGGGGTTCTGACTACTTATTTTGTCAGATAGTCATACAGTTTCATTTATGCCTGGTATTCACTTGAAAACAAGTATTAGCCCATCTGTTTAAGCCTTCTATCTGGGACAATGGTATTCATTCATCATCCCCATCTTGAGGTCTAGATTGAGTAGCTTCAATCCACACAGCTGGTGAAGTGCAGCACTAAGGTTTGAATCAGTCCACCACCACCGACAGTCATTCTCTGCATTTTACTTACAAGACCTGGTGGCATAGCAGCTGGAGTCATCACCCAGATAGGACCAGGCGATTCATAAAGAGGGGTCAGCTGATTGTCAGGAAGGAAAAGCATCCCAGAACAATGCACTTCAACTGCCTATTGTTCTTTTGAAATGTTATTTTGTATGTACCAAAGTCACACACATCTGTGTGGGTTATATACAGTGAGTGACCTCTCTCCTATTCCTCAGATCACACAGTATTGACAGGAAGATAGGTCTCTTTCCTTCCTCATCCCTGATACAAAAACAAAAAACAAAAGAAACAAAAAACAAAAAAACAAACAAAAAAACGAAAGCGTATTCAACAATTCCTGCAATTGGTGTGTATCCCTGGGCAATAATATATCAAGGTCCATCCATCCTAAACTAAACAGAGATTTAGGTTCTGCGTAAGCATTCAGTAACTCACAGAATAGGATGTGCAGGCCTCGGTTTGTTCATTCCTTGCCGTTCTAGGAAATTGAAATAACACACACAAGTTTCAACAAAACGGCCATCCACACTGTTAGGATGAGACCTCCTCTAGGTGTCCCTAATCCACCTCAATGCCTGGTCACCCGAGCCAGCGACACAAAGAAGCCTTGTCTCCTGCCAAGCGCCGCCCCTCGGGCTCGCACTCCAGCGGGGAGGAAGTGGGGAGGAGACTGGCTAGGAACCCCTCCTCTCCTCCAGCTCGGGTCTCCTCCCCGCTCGCTCCAGGCTTTCAGCGGAGGCTGAGACGCCTCGGTGCTCTGCAGAGAAGAAGCCCCTGGCCCGCCCGCTCGTGCGGCCCTCGAAGCGCTAAGACAGCTGCCCTGGTGCAATCGCAGGGTGAGTGGCCCGCAGGGACAGCCGGGGGGCGAAGCAGCCGGGGACCCGGGCTGGGGCCGCCGGGGTTGGAGGCGGGAGGGGCGCAAGGCCAGGGCTACTCGGGGGACGCCAGCGACCTGCGAGAGGGACCTGCGTGCTGCGGGCCTGGGTGTGTCCGGATCTGGACAGAGGCTCCCTGGTGCGTCCTGCCTGCCATCTGACGGTGATTTTGCTTGGCTCCCAGGCCGAGCATCCCACCCTCCACCCCCACCTCGACCCCGCTATCTTATTTTGCTCCTACTGGCCTGGGTCTGACAGTGACGTTTGTAAGCCACCGCTTTGTGTGGGCCAAATCCAAACAGGCCCCACCAGCAGGGGCCACAGCTAAGGCGAGGCTTCAGAGGAGGGGGCTGGGCGTACTTGTCACGCAGGTAGCCGATGGCTTGTTGAGCCTAGCAAACAGGGTCATTGGGACCGAGATCGCTGGCCCACTCCGCATTGTTCGCAGGGGCCTGGAGTGTGGGTGTGTTTGGAGAAGAGGGCAGTCCTTGGTCCAGAGGCCTGGAGAATCCGCAGCCGGAGATTTTCCACTTGGCTGCCCTCCTCCTCTACACTAGCCAAACCTCCCTCCTCTTGCGCCCCCACCCCTCCTCTGACGTCACCCACATACTCTGAAGACTGGCCATTAGAGGGACAGGAAAGGAGGAGAGAGCCGAGGCCTTAGCTAGGCTCCTGCGTAGTCGTGGCTGCCTCCGGTGGTTTGGAAAAGATCTTTATCACACAGCCAATTTGGTAGAATCCCTCTGGGGCAAGCCGACTCACAGCTAGGAGGCAGCACCTGGGCTTTTCATGGCAAAGGGCGCGTCTCTCAACGCCTGGGTCGGAGCCCTCAATTGCCTTGTTCTCAGTGACTCAGTGGGCACAGGGAACGAACGTGAGCTAGAGGGAGACAGGCCCTTGGGAGCCGTGGAATGCAGGGGTCAGTGTGGTGAGACAGGAATGTGGGACCGTAAAAGCCAAGTTTTTTGTGCAGGATGGGACGGAGGGATCCTAGGTGGGAAATCGAGAGATACTCTTTTTGGGGGGATGCGGATACTGTTAATCTTATCAAGTGTATGGAAGCTTAGCTTTTTTAGTTGTTGTTTTATCGTTTTTGTTGTCTATCCTCTTGTACACATTACACATTCTTTGCCATGAGTGAATGAAACAATTTCTTAAGTTAAAATTAAATGAAGACGTCGTGGAAACTGTATAGGATGGGGTGTAAAAGACAGAACTGAATCAGTTCTCGTTCTGGTTTAGCAGAACGTAGTGGACATTGGGGGAAAATACACAATGTATAAGGAAAAAGAAAGAAAGGCTTCTTAGAGAAAAGGACCCGGGAGAGAGAAGACATGGTAAATCGTGTTAGGGATATTAATACAAGGTCAGGCTAGCCGTCAACTAGGAAGTACCCCAGCGGTGCCTTTGCCCTCATACCGTCTTCCAGCCACACATCCATGGGATGCAAATCATAAAATGCATCCTCTAATCTCACATACTTAAGTCTTTGTTTCAAGATCTGAAATCAAACTGAAATGCAAGCTGTGGGGATCCTTTTTCCCAAGATGGCCACACTTCCCCTTCTATGTTTGAGTCTATTGGGACTGCTGTGCGGTGGGACTAGAATGTCTGCTTTCTCCCTGCTGTGTAGCTTGTACCTGGGATACCTTTTACTCTGAAGGAAACTGTAGTGAGTTCAAAGGGACCATAGTTAGCACAGCGGAGACGGGGATAGGAACTATGGAGAGCAATATAAAAGATGAGAAATCATATGAAAGAAAAACTCTTCGCCTCTTCCCTTCGTCCGGTGACAAGGCTGCTGTGTTTAGCTGTGGCCTCCATGGAGCTCCTATGAGTATAAAGAAAAACCTGGAACTTATTACAAGATGCTAATAAATAGTGCCGCTGCTTAAGAACTGTGCTCTTGAGTGCAGAGATGGCTCAGTGGTTAGGAGTATTTTTGTTTGATTGCCAGCGCACACAGTGGCTTGAAACCACCTGTAACTCCAGTTCCAGAGAATCCAACTCCTTCTGATGTCTGTCAACTCCTGCAGGCATATGGTCAACATACATGCTATCAGACACATATTATATTCGTTATGGCTACTATTGCTGTGATGAAATAACCCGATCAAAGGCAAGTCAGGGAGGGAGAGGGTTATTTGGCTGACACTTCCACACCATAGTCACTGAAGACATCAGGACAGGAACTCAAGCAGGGCTGGAACCCAGAGGCAGGAGCTAATAAAGGGACCATGAAGGGGTGCAACTTACTGGCTTTTTCCTCCCATTTTTTTTACATCCTATTTTTTTAAAAAAACCCCAAGCCCCCCAGCCACAATGGGGTAGGCCGTCCCCCGTCAATCATTAGTTAAGAAAATACCCTACAGCTGGATCTCATAGAAGTATTTTCTCAATTGAGGTTCCCTGATTTCAAATGACTCTAGCTTGTGTCAAGCTGGCATAAAACTATCCAACACATATATACATGCACATAAAATAGATAAATATTTTTAAAGAACTGTACTTCAGCTCTGCGTTTCTTGTATTGGGATCCTAGATTCATCACTTACCCACCAATGTGATATTAAGCCAGTGACAAATTCCCTGACTACTCTTTGAAAGACTTGGAGTTTTCTTCCCCAGACACTGTGCAATGAGAATAGTGATAATATATGTGTCATAAGTTTCTCAGAATTAAATAAATGTAATAAACTATGTGCTATACTATGAGAAAGTTGATAGGGTGTGTATTGCCATGACTGTCATTACTACAGTTGCTACTTTACTGTTACTGTTGTCTTAACCACAGAAAATAGGTTCAAAACTTACACAGGGGCTTGAAATCCTCACTAACAGTATTATCTAGATCATTCTAAGTAGCTGCCAAATAGATTTAGCTCATGTACACACAAGCTAACTAAGAGAACAACTAATTATGTAGAAGTATGAGTATGAATTCTCTTCTCCCTTGCCTTTGATCTATGTCCACTTCCAGGTTTCACTTATGGTGTTCATTGTAGTTTTGTGGGGCATTCAGCATCTATGGATATATATATATATATATATATGTATATATATATGCATAAATATATATGAACATATATATATATGTATATATATTTAATTCTGCAGCTCTTATTACAGGGTTGTATGGATGGGTCCCATTAATCATCTTCCCGTTCTCCTTCATCTTTCCTGTCTTCTCTACTCTGTCTCTTCTTTCTCTTAGTTGATATTTAACAACCTTAATATATATTCCTATTGCCTAACTTGTGGCATTGATTTTTTTTCATAGAAAAAGTCTCGAATTTCCTCCTCTGTGTATATCTTAACTTAGAAAAGTAGAGTTCCAGAAGACAGAAAGGTAGTGGTGGCGGTGTGAGAGGGGAAAGCCTGAGAGGGAGTTGGGAATGGAAGCAGGGCCTGTTCAAGGTAACAGTTTAGGGAGGAGAGGAGGGCAAGGAGAGTCTGTCCTGTTTCGAAAGCTTGAGGGAGGGAGGAGAAGTCAAGACTGTCCTGGCAATAGCTTGAAGGAGAGAGGTGTCAGCTGTAAAGTTGCAGGAGCTGCCACCTACCCTATGGAAAGCCAGGCTGGGGAAGGGAGTTGGGTTCTCTCCAGTGGACACAGGTGAAGCTCTGTGGACTCCCCTTCAAGGACACAATATTATTAGAGTACTTTCTGAAGCAAAAAGGTGGGAACAGACCGAGAGACTTGGAAACCAGATTCCTTCAGTCCAGACACGAATTACTAAAGCACCAAATTGGGTTAATGGCAGTGTGCTGGCAAACTGACAGCGAACACATTGAAGGGCTTGTGGCCAAATGGAAATGGGATAAAATTGGAGGAGTGGACAGAGTCTGGCTGTGCACACTGGGCTGCTGTCCTGGTTTTTTTTGTGGGCACCAGGAGGGGCGAGGAAGGGACGAGCTTCTTCCTACCAGCTCTTAGCTGGCTGTATCCTTTAGATATTCTTTGAGATGGGTAAAGAGTCAACGCTGGGGTTTAACAGCTAAAAGCATCTGGCTCATGTAATTTTACTTAGAAAAGCTCTTTTCTGTGAGGGAATCCCCCCTCCCAGCGGCAGAGTCTCATGTAGCCAAGACTGCCCTTGAATTCCTGACATAGACCACCATATCAATTTCCAGAGGCAGCTGTATTACTTGACAACACATGAGGTGACTGAAGATAATAGGATTTTCTTTGCAGTTTGCCTCTACCTCTAGGTGCTGAGGTTTCAGAAATGTGCCACCATACACAGCTCTAAAGTCAGGGCTTCTGTAGGTTAGTGACATGCTCTTACAGGTTGTCCCTGCACTTTTTCAGCAGGGACTTGAGATTATTAGATACCTGGGACACAGATCTTTCCATCTATGGCTGTGGAAGTCAAAGCACACAGGCCACGGACTTTTCCAGGGATCCAGAGAGATATGTTAAAAGCATATGCCGTAGCCATTATTCCTCAGGGTTAGCATTCGTCTTAATGTCAGCTGCAAAAGAGGAGACCTGTGCAATCACAGTCAATAAATGCGCAGTCTACCGGCTGCCATACCCAACAACAGATGAGACTTCTTTGTCTACTTTGTGGGCATTCCGTATTTTTCACATAAAGAAGTGAGTGATTTGCTCTTAACCAGACAAATATGTGCACATGACTGAACACTGCTGGTAGATTGCAGAGCAGCACTGAGTTGTCACTCCCAGAGAAGAAGCAAAGGGTATTTGAAAGCAGATATACACAACTACACCTTCCTTGGCTGTGTCTTGGGTGCAAGGAAGAAACTGGTACAACTTCATAATTGTCTGATTTCTGTTTCTGGTTGTCTGGGACCTGGTATTCAGCCACGGAAATCTTTCATGTTCCTCTTACTCAGCTTGGGACTGACACAAGCTGGAGATCCTTGACTACTCAGCCTGGTGCTCTAAGTGCTCCAAACTGAGGTTAATAAGACCAGCGAGGAAGCTGAGATGCGTGGGAGGAGCGTAAGACCAGAACAGTCTGCGCCACTGCACCAGTTCTCAGAGGCTTCCATATCAAATGATTACAATCAGGGTGGCTTAAAATGATGCTATTTTATTTCCTCAAAGTTCTAGAGCAGTAGTTCTTAACCTGTGGGTCATGACCCCCTTGGGGATCAAATGGCCCTTTCACAGGGGTTGCATCCAGCATATCAGACGTTTACATTACAATTCATAACACTAGCAAATTTGCAGCTATGAAATAGCAGTGAAATAATTTTATGGTTGGTGGCCTCCACAACAGGAGGAACTCAGTTAAAGGGTTGCAGCATTAGGAAGGTGGAGAACCACTGTTCTAGAGGGTTAAATTTTTAGCACCCAGGCTTGAGCTGATTCCTTCTAGAGTTTCAGAAGTAGAATTTGTTCCATGCCCCCTAATATAGTTTCTGGGTTTTGCCAGCAGTCCTTGATATTCCTCAGTCTTCAGACACATCTCAATATTCTTTGTCTGTACCTTCTGATAGAATTCTACTCTATGTTTCAGTCTCTCACTTTCCAATGCCAGCATGACCTGGCAACATGGTAACAGCTCCAAATCTACCAGCAGCCCTCCTTTCTGTGTTGTTTCCTTCTGTGGTGGAATAGAATCTACACTCTTCTAAGTGTGACCAAAGGGGTGGACTAAATGCGTGGATATTGAGACTCAGTTATTTCAATGTCAGTCTTATTGCACAGTAAGGTCTTTGCCATAGCTGGTGGAGTAGAACTTTGCTTGGTTTTTGATTGTTTCACCATTCTTCATTAAACTGGACCTTTGTTCTTTTTCTCTGCAGAAACCTACAGAACCATGGCGACTCCATCTGCTGCCTTTGAGGCACTTATGACTGGAGTGACAAGCTGGGATATCCCTGAGGATGCTATCCCATGTGAACTGCTTCTTATTGGAGAGTCTTCATTTCCTGTGATGGTGAATGACATGGGCCAGGTCCTCATTGCTGCCTCTTCCTATGGCAGAGGTCGCATGGTGGTAGTAGCTCATGAGGACTATTTGGTGGAAAGCCAGCTCTTTGTCTTTCTTGTCAATGCCATTGGATGGCTTCGTTCCTCCCCTGAGTCTTCCATTGGTATACACACATCTTTATCACCATTGGTGAAAATCCTTGAAAGCTGTGGAATAGAGTCAACTATTGAGCCCGAAGCGAATGACTCCATAGGAGTTTACTGTATCGATGCCTACCATGAATCCATGTCTGATAAGCTGGTCCAGTTTGTGAAACGCGGAGGTGGCTTGCTCATAGGAGGCCAAGCCTGGGATTGGGCTAACCAGGGTGAAGATGAAAGAATTCTGTTCACATTTCCTGGGAATCTAGTGACCAGTGTGGCTGGTGTGTACTTCACTGACAACAAAGCAGACTCAACTGTCTTTAAAGTTTCTAAGAAGATGCCTAAGATTCCTGTCTTAGTTAGGTGAGTATTTTACCGAGGTGGGAAGTTGGTCTCAGATTAAAAAGCAGACATGATTCCATCTTCAGGTACCTTCCTGAAGGAAAAGAATTTGAAACTCAGACATGTATTTGCCACAGTCAGTTAGATTTTTGTTTTAATATTCTGAGGCTCTGGATGAGCAAGGTCTTCTTGACACTGCCTCCCCAGACCAATCCACTTCGCTCTTTGAGGAGAAGAATTTCTATTGAGTCTGATATTCCTCAGCACTTAGATTACTAAAAAATAACATTGACCACAAGAATTGGCATGATTTCCTTACAGCAAAAAGGAAACTATTAGAAAAAGGGAAACAGAGAAACCCTATGGGCCAAAGTCTGGAGGTCTGTGAGAAGCATTTGGAAATGTTTAAAAGGGGTTAGGGGTTAGGATGGAAACAGGAAGTTGTGGGTTTGGAAGTTGAGTTGAAAAGAGATGGTATAGTTATATATACTAATGCTAGGCTTTTCAAAAGACTTTTTGTCTCTGGGGTCAAATGATCATCTGAGAATGTAGGAGACAATGCTGGTACAGAGGCAAGCCTCACTGAAGGGTCTGGAGAGTGTATCCCGGTCTGTTTTATAGGCATACAGTGTTGTACATGCAACATATCAATAAATACTCAGCAAGCGTTCGTTAGGTTTGTAATTAGATTGAGAAATGAAGGGTACTCGAAGCTGTGGTCATCTCAAGAGCAGAAAATGTACACTAGGCCACTTCACACTATAAGTAAGAATTCTTAGCTTTCTCAGAACAAAGGACACTGTTATTCTGACTGATGGGAGAAGAGTTGGGTGAGGAAGATCCAGTGAGGCCTTTAGAAGAATGATAAATAAACTAAATTAATAAATGTCCATGACAAATTAATCAGGCAAGCTGTGTCCTCTCTATTTTTTGGAAAGAAGTCACCTTGTCTCATTTTAACCCCAAATCAGAGCATCTGCAATGAGTTCAAACTCCCTTTTGGTTATTTACCCATGAGTTCTTTCAGACTTTATTGTATATATTGCCTCAGATATTATTTCTTATCTTGAGAATGAGTTACGAAGATTTGAGCATGAACAGCATGGAAGTCTCTCTGGTGACAATATCTGGAAGACATGTAAAACACTATGTAAACTGTGTATCAAGACACGGTGCATTACAGTGCAGGCGAATCTGGAAACGAATCTAAGGCTAGTAACTGTACAGTGGGTTCTTAGACTGTCCTTCCAACTCTTTCCACCTAGAAGGAGAGTGTCAGGGTGCAACCTCTGGGTTATCCTTCTGGGTACCATTCCCTTCAGATCTTCTGGTCAGTGTGATCTGTTTATGTTCCCAAAGTCATCAGGCATGCATGGAAATGAACGTTGGGCAAATGACCATGGTCTGCACACTCACATACTCTAAACACATTCACTTAAATACTACCCTGAAACCTGAATTAGCCAACTTCCAAGTTAATGTTATATGTGTCCCTTCCATCCTGAATATTAGTGAAGTGATACTGGCCACGGATGATCTTTGTACTTTCAGAGTACTCTAAGAGATTTCCAAATTTTAAAAGTTGAAAACAAACATTAGCTTGTCTCCCCAAGTGGCTTAGAAAAACAACAGGGCAGGTGTAGACAAGTATTTGCAAGAAAGATCTGCAAATCCTTAGAGGTTATTGATGGAAATATGTAGGATAGGTTAATCAGTAAAATCAATAATTGTTTAATTGAAAAAAACAGCAAAATAATAACCACTAGATAAACTGATCATGACAACAAGAGAGAATTAAAAATTTCAAGAATGGAAGGAGGGGCCACTCATGTGGATCTACAGATATTAGAAGGATAGGGAGAAAATTGATATAATCTATACCAGCAAATTATTCAATTCAGATGAAATGGACAGAATTCTTGATTGACACATCTTATAAAACTAAACATAAGAAAAAAGCCAATGTATACTAAAATAAATTGAATTGTAATTACAGCACCCAGTATGTACAAGGTAGTTACCTGGATTGAATTCTAGAAGACATTAACAGAAAAGCAAGTAAAATTTATACAGTTTTCCAGGCATGGTGGCACACGCTTTTAATCTTATCACTCAGGAGGCAGACATAGCCAGATCTCTACATAGCAAGTTCCAGGCCAGCCTGGTCTACATGGTGAGTAATAAGCTAATCAAAACTACATAAGAAGACTTTGTCAATAATTTTAATAATAACTCTATTATTATTATTATAACAAAAAATATCGAGATTTGTGTTCATTGACAGAGCTCATTATGAAATCCACCCCGAATGGGTGCTGGGATGATGTTCACCACCTGTCTAGTTAAAGGCTGAGCACTTGTCCTGTGTTAAGGTCTTAGTTCTGCTAACTAAACCATGACTGCTTAACATGTTATCAGTAGTTATGTCAAAGATACAGACTGTCTGTATTATACAACTTATCCATTTTTCTTTTAATTCTAAAATAGAAATTTTGTTTAAAACCAACAAGAGCACAAGCAGCATCCCAGTCACTGATAGCCTTACCAACCAATTTTATCAAACTTTTGAGGAGCAAATAGAGATTCTTTCAGAATGTAACAGTAAATCATCTTCAACTTTATTACTTTACCAGCAGCATTTCTGTCATATTAAAACCAGAGAAAAGGCTAGAGAGATAGTTGAGTAGATAAACAGCTTTCTGTGTTAGCATTAGGGCCTGAATTGGATCTCCAAAAGTCCACAAAAAAAAAAAAAAGAAAAAGAAAAAAAGAAAAGCCAGAGTAGCTTACCTGTAATCTTAACATTGAGGAAGGAGAGCAGAAGGGTGCCTGGGGCTTGCTGGCCAGGCAGGCCAGCTCAGTTGGTGAACTCAGGTCCACCAAGAGACCCTGTTTCAGAAAATAAGGCAGAGAGTGATTGAGAAAGGTACCTAACCAATATAAACCTCTAGCATGTACACATCACACACACACACACACACACACACACACACACACACACACACACACATACACACACACACACACAATAATAATAAAACGAGAAAGGCATTTTAAAGGGGGGAAAAAAAGAACCTACAGAGCAATATGCCAAGTTCTTTTTTTGTTTGTTTTTTGAGGCAGAGTTTCTCTGTGTAACAGCCCCAGCTGTCCTGGAACTTGCTCTGGAGACCAGGCTGGCTTCAAATTCACAGTGATCTGCCTGCCTCTGCCTCCTGAGTGCTGGGATTAAAGGTGTGTGGTACCACAGCCTGACACAATATTCTTAATTGAATATTAACAAGTGAAATAATTTAATATATAAAAGAATAATATATATCATAACAAAATTCATCTATCTTGCATATAAATGACTGGTTTTGTAATCTGAAACCAATTTTATTTAGCATGGTAACTAGAAAAAAATATGGTTATAGAATTCAATGGATGCACACAAAATGTTTGACAAGATTTCATACTCAATCATGATAAAATGTCAAAAAACACTCAATATGAAAAGTAATTTCTTCAGTCTGAAAAGAGGCATTCATTTTGTTCTGTCAATTTTATTTTGTTTCATTGCGATTTTTAAGAAAGGGTCTCATATAATACAGGCTGGTCTTGAATTCACTGTGCAGACAAATCTGGCCGTGAGCTTTAAATCCTGTTGCACCCATTTCCCAAGTTCAGGGATTGCAGGTATGTGCCTTCATGTCCAGCTATAAAAACATTGCTAAAGATGAAATGGTGAGTGTTTTTACCTTAGAAATGAGAACGAGACCAGAGTAATAACTGGTGCCATCTTTTCTATCCATCATTTGAGACATAGAGATTGAAAATTGGGAAGCAGACTTTCAGACATGTCTAAATACACTGAAGTATCACAATAGCTATTAGTAAAATCTAAGAATTGAACAATATATTCCAATAAAAGGATTATGAATGTAGTCTCTCAAACTATCTTTTAACAATGTATTATTATTGTTGTTGTTACTTGTGTGTGTGTGTGTGTGTGTGTGTGTGTGTGTGTGTGTGACAGAGAGGGGTGTAGGAGATGAAGGAGCAGGTGCCTGGCGCACTTCTGGAGGTCAGAGGACAACAGAATCTCTTCTGTCCTTTGTCCTTTACATGGATTTCTGGGCTTGTGCAACAAATATCATTACCCACTGAGCCATGTCACCCTCCTCCCTCCGACTGTCTCACTGCATGCTCTATTCACCCTTTTGATGAGTTTATGATATCCAGCTCCTGTGTGGTGAAGTCAATGATGCGATTGAAACATAAAGGTAGATAAATTGAAATTGTCATTGAAACAAATAGCATAGTTCAGAGGCATTGACTCAATGAGGAAAAAGTTTCCAATGTGTAGTTCTGGAACAACTTGATACCCTGATGGGAAAGATGACCCTTAGCATATTTCATAAAGTACTCAAAAGCAGGTCTAGACCCAAGTACAAATGAAAAACTAAAAACTTCTAAATGATGGCACAGGAAAAACAAACAAACAAAAAAAAGAACAATAGCAACCACAAACAAACAGGAAAAAGCACTTGCAGCTTTGCCTTAGGCCGATTGCCTGTGGAAGACAAGACAATGTACAAGACCAGAAAATGGAAAGACTGGCAGCATCTCAGCCATCTCTTTCCTAAATATTGCCCCAAAGAAATGAAGTCATGTCCTCCCCAAAACTTCACATAACACATTATCTTCTTATCACTGGGAACATTGACATTTTCTTCTTCACTTTGGCTTTTGTGAAATGCTGCAAAGAACAGGAAAGTCTCTGGAAGGCACTGGTCCTGTTTGCTGTGGGTTCATAGCCAACAGAGGGTTGGATAGGTCACATGGTAGTTCTATTGTAGTTTTTCAAGGACTCCCCAATCCATTTTCTCTAATAGCTCTATTAGTTGACACTCCCACCAACTGTGCAAAAACTGCCCTTTCTTCTCGTCTTCGTCAGACTTGATACCTTTCGACAGTTTGATAATACTCATTCTAATAGATGGGGAGCACTCCCTGGCTGTGGATTTGACTTGCATTTTCTTGGTGAGTGGTGGGTAGTAAGCACCTTTCGGTAGACCTGTTGGCCATCTGTATGCTGTAGTGTGTAGTGATCTTGTCCGTTACATAATGCGCTGAAGTTCTGGGCTGGTCATGACTGATAATCCTGGCCTTTCCCCGCTCCGTCTTCTCTTACTCATATGTATTCCAGATTCTTCTCTTCCCACAGGTTTGCCATTCATCTGACTCCATCTGTGTTGTGTCCTAAGTAAATACCCCCTCTCCCAGTTTGCTGATTGTGCCCTATACAAGATCAGGTGGTATTATGAGTTTATCTTTATTTTATTTACTGGCTTCTATCCCATCTAGAATGGCATATGAAACAGAAGTAAAATTGGAGCCAGAAGAGCTAGTTATTTTTATGGCAGATGCCTCAAGGAAAGAGACGGCCAGTTGGCATCGAGGCCCCAATTTCCCTGTAAACCATTCAGAGCTCTGTACAGCACAGGAACTGAGAATCCATTGGCTGTCGACACCCATTTTGTATTTCCTCTATGCTGCCTCCGGACACATGATTGCCATAGTTTGACACCTACAGAAGCAATAGATTCAATTCTGGAATTGCAAGCATGTGGAGCTTGTCCTAAGCATCCAGGGCTCAAATCTCCCTTTGGAGTTGATAGGTGGCCTAAGGCTCTTATGGTGGTGGGTTATGGGTAGGGAAAAGGTGGTGCTGAGCAAAGTGTCACAGCAGCCAGCACTGGTGTTGGGCAAGCTTCGGACAGGTGGAATTCTGGATGTGGGATCCCTTCTCACTAAGGGACCACAAGTCTCAGGAGAGTTGAGGCTGATGACCGCCTCCACCCCATCTTCTGAGATAGTTAGCACAACTAACTCTGCTTTTCACAGACTTTGCCTCTATCAAGTTAGTGGTGTGAAGTGTATCAACGAAACTCACGATAAGAACAAAATCACAATTCTTCAAGTAACTCTTTGAATACTGGAATACATGGGTGGACTGAACTTAAGTCTGTAATGCTCTGCCTTAAGTGTAGTATCAGATAAACACAGCAAGAGTTTCTACACAATTTCCTTTAAGGACGTGGTGGTCTGGAAATGAGCGTCACAGCCTTGGTGGCCTCTGTTATCCCAAATCTTCTACAACATTCTAAAAAATGACAAGTGCCCTTGTGTTGCGGATAGTGTCCTTCTAATCGGGAGTATGTGTGTGTGTGTGTGTGTTTTGCAGTTGTGAAGACGACCTCTCAGAAGACAGAGATGAACTTCTGCATGGCATCTCAGAGCTGGACATCACCAACTCGGACTGTTTCCCATCCCAGCTACTAGTGCATGGGGCTTTGGCATTTCCCTTGGGGCTAGATACCTACCATGGCTGTGTGATTGCGGCCGCCCGCTATGGCAGGGGCCGAGTGGTTGTAACTGGTCATAAAGTATTATTCACGGTGGGCAAACTCGGCCCATTTCTGCTCAATGCTGTCCGCTGGCTGGACGGGGGCCGCAGAGGCAAGATTGTGGTGCAGACAGAGCTGAGAACACTAAGTGGTCTGCTCGCAGTAGGGGGTATAGACACCAGCATTGAGCCCCAACTGACCAGTGATGCCAGCGTCTATTGCTTTGAACCCACAAGTGATGTGGGAGTTAAGGAGCTGCAGGAGTTTGTAGCAGAGGGTGGTGGGTTGTTTGTTGGAGCCCAAGCCTGGTGGTGGGCCTTTAAGAACCCAGGAGTGTCCCCTCTGGCTCGCTTCCCAGGAAACCTGCTCCTCAACCCTTTTGGCATCAGCATCACAAGCCAGAGCCTCAACCCAGGCCCCTTCCGCACCCCTAAATTGGGAATAAGGACCTATCACTTCCGCTCCACCCTGGCAGAGTTCGAAGTGATAATGGGCAGGAAGAGAGGGAATGTGGAGAAAGGCTGGCTAGCCAAGCTGGGGCCAGACGGGGCGGCTTTCCTGCAGATTCCTGCAGAGGAGATCCCCGCTTACATGTCTGTGCACCGACTCCTGAGGAAGCTGCTGAGCCGCTATCGGCTCCCAGTGGCAACCCGAGAGAACCCTGTCATCAATGACTGTTGTCGGGGTGCCATGCTTTCCCTGGCCACAGGTCTGGCCCACTCTGGAAGTGACCTCTCACTACTAGTCCCAGAAATCGAAGACATGCACAGCAGCCTCTATCTGCGCCCTTCAGAGTCCCCAATCACCGTGGATGTCAACTGCACCAACCGAGGTAGGGTGGCAGGAGGATCAAAGCTTGGTTTGGTGGGCATCAGCAGAACAGGGGCATGAGACTGCTGCCGTATTGGGACATTTGGTTGTCGCTATTCTGACTCCCTCCCTCCTCAGGAAGACAGGGGTTGGGTTTCGGGCAGTGTTTGGAAGAGTGAGAGCAGTGTAGCCGGGAAAGGAGTGACTGACTTCGTCAGGGGTATGTGCAGAGCAGGGGTGACGTCTGCCGCTCCTGTGTTTTGACAGGCACTCGGTACTGCTGGATGAGCACCGCTCTCTATATACCTGGACGGCAAATCATAGAAGTCTCCTTGCCCGAAGATGCTGCCTCTGCGGACCTGAAGGTGAGGCCCCTCCCCATCTCGCCCCCGATGCAGAATCCAAATGCCCTTGCTATACCGCAGGTGGCATTGTCTGCGTAATGCCCTACTGGCAATCTGGGTCAGTTTTTAAACCTTTTACCTTCTTAACAATGAGGAATCTCTGCTTTGATGTATAACAAAATATATCAAAGCGATACATTCTGGAGCGCAAGGACTCTGTCATGATCTTGCCTCAAAATAGGAATCTCTCCTCTTAAAAATTGTTCTCATGACTCATGTTCTTAGAGAGGACTAAGAGATCTCAATGGAAGGTTGCCTGACCTTCTGTAGGTATTCAGTTGGTGAATATTAGTTTACTTTCCGTGTCATAACTTAAGACATATGAACTCAAGAAATGGACAATTTCATGACTATCATACATGACATCATCAATGGCAAATGGGGTCATAGCCCCTTCTTGAATCCACCTCCTATTCTCTCTTCTACCACCCACACATACTCCGTGTCACTGTGAGACTGATTTCTCCGCTCCAGATACAAATTGGCTGCCATACTGATGACCTGACCAGGGCCAGTAAGCTGTTCCGAGGCCCCCTGGTGATTAATCGGTGTTGCTTGGACAAGCCCGTGAAATCCATCACCTGCCTCTGGGGAGGTCTCCTTTATATCATCGTGCCTCAGAATAGCAAATTGGGGTCTGTGCCCATCACCGTGAAGGGGGCTGTCCGTGCTCCATACTACAAGCTAGGTAAGTCGGCACCACAAGGTGCACATTGAGAAGTGGGAGACGCTGAGCATGAAGTTGTTCCTGGGGCTGTTTGTTAGAGACAGGAGTAGACCAGGAGTAGACAGGAGGCAGGTGGTGGGTTTCTTTAAGTTCTGCTTTGGTGCCAAGAAAATATAAAATAAAATCGTACCCATAGAGGTTTTCAAGAAAGATGGAGAAAAGGGATGTGGCTAGCTTTCTCATCTTGAGTTCTTACCTGGGGCCCAACTTGTATGTATGTTTTAACTTGAAGGATTTGATAAAGACAGTTCAGGGTCTGTTGCCCTTCTTCATAGGGGAGACATCCCAGGAAGAATGGAAGAGGCGTCTCCAGGAACATCCTGGTCCGTGGGGAGAGCTGGCCACTGACAACCTCATCCTGACTGTGCCAACTGCAAATCTCCGAGCTCTGGAGAATCCGGAGCCACTCCTCCGCCTCTGGGACGACGTGATGCAGGCTGTGGCAAGGCTGGGCGGAGAGCCCTTCCCTTTGCGTCTGCCGCAGAGGATAGTGGCCGATGTGCAGATCTCAGTTGGTGGGTATTCTGAGTGGCACTCGTTTCCCCCAGCACTTTCCTTCTTCCCACAGCCATGAAGGCAGAGAGAGTTAAAAACGTTTTTGCTAGCAAGACATGTAGATATATCCTTTGCTGTGTAAATGGAAAGGGGAGAAACTGCATCAATATAAAAAGTAGCTTTGGTTTGTGTGTTAAGAAGAAATGTCATCAAAGAAGTCAAGAGATGTCACCTGAGTCTCGCTAGGCTCCGCTCAAGGAATCTGTCAAGAAGTGAGAAAATGCAGTGGTGGTCTTTGGCCTCGCAGCTGAGATGACTGGAGGAATCTCAACTATTTGTAAAGGAGCCAAGAAACCTAAACAAAGGGGCTGGGTACAAACGTGGAAGCATCATGGGGCATTTCCTAGATCCGCATTTTTACATTGCATGAATACATCCTGTAATGTGGCGTCAGTGTAGGGAACCCCATATCAAAGAATGGGGCAGAGGCATCTTCGGAGGACTTGAGAAAGGGTTATAATAGTCTCACATGGGTGCCTCCACCCCCCATCCCAGAAAAGCAGAACACTCCATAGCAGCATGAATGGCCCTCAGCAACCCATACTCCCCCAGGGCTCATGTCAGAAGAAAGGTGAAAATGTCACTGCAGATTGAGTAGAAGAAAAACCTGGGGGTGTCTGGGCTTGGATGACCTCTTGGAACAGCAGGGATATTAGAAAGCTCCTGGGGCTACTGTGTGTTTTGGAAAAGAAACAGTTCAGAGACAGATTTAATAATGAGGTGGGAAGATGCTGACCCTGTCCTCTTTCTTTCGTGTCCCCAGGCTGGATGCATGCCGGGTACCCCATCATGTGTCATCTGGAGTCAGTGCAGGAGCTCATCAATGAGAAGCTCATCAGGACCAAGGGGCTGTGGGGCCCTGTCCATGAGCTGGGCCGCAACCAGCAGAGGCAGGAGTGGGAGTTCCCACCACACACCACTGAAGCCACCTGCAACCTGTGGTGTGTTTATGTTCATGAAACCGTCCTGGGCATACCTCGAAGCCGAGCCAATATTGCCCTGTGGCCCCCTGTTCGGGAAAAGAGAGTCCGAATCTACCTGAGCAAAGGGCCCAATATCAAGAACTGGAATGCCTGGACAGCGCTGGAAACATACTTACAGGTACTGGGAAAGCCTGGAGGGTGATAAGACAAGTGGAACCACCAAGGCCACATGGTTAAATGATAAGCTAGGTGACCCTGGAGGCCACCCACTCCATCTGTGTAACGATAAGTCTTTACTCCATCCCACTGAGCCCTGCCACCACATGGGCGCCCAAATAACACACAGAATCTTATATTAGTTTACAATGCTGCTGGCCAATTGACTAGGATTTCCTATATGCTAGCTCAGTCTTAATTATCATAAATCTATATATTTTATAAGACTTACCTTATCGAGGACGCCTTCTACTGGTGTCCTCTTCCCGAGATCACATCTGCCTCCCACATTCAGCCACATGAGACCCCAAGAGAGTCTAGGGTTAACAACATATAGTGATGCCTCTTGGTACAACACTTTGTAGGACCCTACAAAGCAGACAGCCCTGCACTGCCTCAATCGTGTCAAACATACCTCCACAGAGAGGTAAAGAGAACATAGCACTGAGAAATCTTAAATCTGGTGGAGGCACATGGAGGACTATAAATATACTGTACTCTCTGTGGTTTTTAAGCCAGACATGGTGATGATTGAAGCTAGCCTTTCCTACTCCATAGCTATCAAGCCACCCTCCTCACACACTCCATGATGGGTTGTGACCCACTTTTTCCTTTGATGAATATACTGCTTCCTTGCTATGGCTTAGTTTTGCCACAGATTCCACCATTTGTAGGCAATCCAGGACTCCTCTCTGCCTTGGGGCTGGAGATTCACCTTGCCTTTGAACTGTCTTTCTGTGCCCCAGTTTTCAGCCCCAGAGCCCGAATCACTCTGAGGAATGACATCATGTTGGACTGAAGCCTGGCATGATTTATTCTGGTTCTCCCACCTGTTCAGATCCTTCACTGGTCATACGCACTGCTACCTTCTCCTTATGTGAGCTAGCTGGCTCACCTACACAGTGAAGATGTCCTGGTTCTGTTAACTACCGAGGCGGCCCCTTAACTCCAAAACCCTGTGACCCTGGCTAGCATGGGCTTGTTCCAATCGTCTCAGGAAGGTTACTTTTAAACAGGCCCTGTGTCTCTGTCAGACATGATGGGCTCTTTCCAATGGCCCCAGAAGATGATGACTTCTAACATGAGAGCTCATTCTTTGTTATAATTATCTAGACTGTCTATAGACTTCTACCTGATTTGATTCACTTTCTTCCCTGAAGGCCATTTTTTAGTGGCCTTGTGAATTAGTGTGAGTATGAATGAGGCTTGAAGGGATTTCTAAGCTGTTGGAATTTAACCTTGCAACTGTGAAAGACAATGAGGATTGTTCCACCCCAGCCAATTTTAAAACCCTATGTTCTTACCGAATAGTTATTTTCATGATCTCATGAGTAGATAAACAGTGACAGTGGTGGGAAACACTAATCATTGGAGCTGCTTCTATAACTGTCACTCACTAAGGGTCTGCCAAGCAGTGGGTTAGCCTTTTCTTAACACTTTTCTTAAGGTTAGTAATTGAAAGAGTAGGGCATGAGACCAGCATGCAAAATGGTCAGTGATGAATGCAAAGCTAAAGCTTAGCAGGTTGAACTGACCAACTTGTGTGTGTTGGACCTTACTTTTGTGGATTGGATGTCTCTCACCTACTTTCAACTTTCGCTTTCTAGCTCCAGGAGGCCTTTGGCTGGGAACCATTTATTCGTCTCTTCACTGAGTACAGAAACCAGACCAACTTGCCCACAGACACTGCTGACAAAATGAATCTGTGGGCGAAGATGTTCTCACAGCAAGTGCAGAAGAATCTGGCTCCGTTCTTTGAGGCCTGGGCCTGGCCCATCCAGAAGGAACTGGCTACCAGCCTAGCCTATCTGCCTGAATGGAAGGAAAATATAATGAAATTGTACCTCCTCACACAGATGTAAGGAGTGCCCATCGAGGTGTCAGGTAGAGAGGTTTGGGGAGGTAGGCAGACGTGGGGTTTAACTCCTCTACCTCTGTCTGCTGAAGTTCTGGCTTGTCCTTTTAATTCGCTGCTTCTGTGTCTTATTCCTGACTTCTGTCTCTAGGAAGCGGGTTAAGAATGTGGCACAAAGTGAAGCCAGAATCTCTTAGGAACAAGGCCTGTGTTTATGAGCCCTATCCTTCTGCTTGTCAGTTGTCAGGCACTGCACTGGCCCAGTGCTGGGAGCTTGGGCATTTGTTTCTGTGCTGGCCATTGGTCCATCTTGATGAACCATAGAGTGCCATCCTTCCCTTGGCCTCCTTGTGTTCAGGATAGGTATAAAAGGCTCTGCCTCTCGGGTGGTAATAGAGTATCTGGCTGACGGTTTTAAAGAAATGTATGAACTATATGGTACATGCCGACTAAATGGTTGCTTCATTTCATGCTGACCCAATCTCTTTCACAGCTCTGAGATTAATATCAACCTTTCTCTCAGTAGACTCGTGCCCAAACTCTAGGTGTTTTATTGACCATTTGTATGTTACTGCAAGATCCTTGACTTGTCCAACGTTCTATGATCTCATTCTAAAAAAAAAGGGGGGAGCTATTTCATGTGATTATTGGGAGAGTTGAGTTTTACAATGCCTCTAAAAGTGATTACAGCATTTAGAAGATATTGAGAAAATATCATTTGGCGTTTTTGTTATCTAATTAACCCAAAATAATTCTAAAGCTAGACTTCACTTTTAGGTGATATTAACAGATGTAGTCATAGCCTTTTAGTTTTTTAAACTGATACATGAAAATATAAAACCTGCATATATTAGTGAGCTACCATGCAATGTCTAAAGTATGAATACATTTTTATACCTGAATTTTTTTAAATGCACGTCTCCTCCAGCACCTATCATTTCTTCAGACCAAATGCCTTCAAAATCATTTATAGTTTTTTTTTTTTTTTTTTGAGATACACAGTGCATAGCTGTTACTGAGAGCCAAAGAGAGGATTCAATGAGTAAAGACACCTGCTGCCAAGACTCAAGACCTGAGTTCAATCTTCAGAACTCACTTAGTGAAAGGAAGGAGAGACCCAACTCTTGCATGGTGTCCTCTGACGTCCACAAGTGTTCTGTGATGGGCAAACCCACTGAACGAATCTAAAAGAAACCATTGTTATTTGTCCTACCCTATCGTACACTACACATACCAACCTCTAAGATTAATTTGGTACATTACTTTATGAATCTGAAGAAAGGATTCAAAACTCACAATGGAGTTTTCAATGGTGATTTGAGATCAGGCCTCTCTATTTAGGTAGGACTGGCTGACGTCAGACTCTATGATCTTTCATCCTCAGCCTCCAAGTGTCGGCATTACAGGTATGCACAGTCATGCCCCAGTCACAGTGCAGTCCTCTTTTCTTTGGTCTCTCAAAGCTACTTATATTTGACCTGTTAACCCAGTTCTTTCAGCTCAAATTCCTTCCCTGATAAAATCCAGAGTAGAGATCTTGACAAAAACCAGAACGATCATAAGATAGTGTTTAGCCTTGGCAAACAATAGATACCCAGCTTTTGTTATATTCCCAGAGTGAGATTCAAGACACAATTGCTGTCAAGGGTTACTGATTACACATACAGAAAATTTCACTTTGGAACAAGATAACTCCGAAGAGCTAACCCAACTTTCATTTAATTACTACACATTCAAAGATCTCTTGGTTTTCCCCATTTTCATTTAAAGTTTCTTTCATGGTTTTAATGAGTGTTTGCTTCTAGGATTGATGTTGGGCACAACCAGTTTTCCCACTTATTTTCGATTTATTTTAGTCTAATCTGTTTTATTTCTATTACATAGTCTGTTAGTGGATGAATGCTATAAAATGCTATAAAATGTGCATGTGTTTCTTTATCCTGCAGCTTCTCGGTCCTGGATTTATTTCATGCATATTTATCATTTAGGCATTTTGAACACAAACATTCAATCCTTAAAGTAATTATTATCAATTATAAGGTATTGAGTATGTGCCAGGCATCGTACTGCTTCCCATATACAGGCATATCATTTAATCTTCCCAATAATCTTTTGAGGTAGAAATTATTATCACCCTGGTTTTATGAATAAGAAAACTGGATTTATGGAGATTAAGTCAATTGTGTGAGACTCCACTGCTAATAAGTCACAGGTCTATGATTTGGGAGGCAGGCAAGCATTCTGATTGCAGATTGGGTATTCATACTTATGATGCATTGAATAACCAAATAAAGAAACAAAACAGTAACCCAGAACATTTATACTTCTTTTAGCCAGAGCCTGGGTGCTTCACACTTAGGCTTATCTCACCTTAGTAGAATAAAAAGTATCTCTGATTCTCCCAAACATCCATAGAGAGGAAGAATTTATGTCAAACTCCCGAAGTGCTTCCTGTTGGAGAAGTGAGTGAGCCATTAGCATCAGGCAACTCCTTAGGTTCTGGCTATTCAGGTTGTTTGTCATTCTCCCCTGGGTACGTGAAATCCGGTTTTTGGTTTATTGGATTTTGAATCATGAGCTATTTTAGTGAAGTACCTGACTTCCCAAAGTCCCAGATGCTTCTTGTTTGCAGAGAGAGAATTGGATCCTCAATCTTTTAGAATGAACTTTTTCTTTTCGCACCAGCTTCCTCTTAATCTGTTTCTGTTTTCATCCCACCCCTTTAACCTGCTTTCAGCAGTGAAGCCTGGGATCCTTTCACTAAAGTTATCTATGTTATTCCCCTGTCCAAAGCTTCCAGTGGCACTCCAGATTTAAGATGACAGACTAAACATATGTGTTTGCCTTCCCTCCCTTCCCAGGCCCCAGTGAAAACTAAAGTGGAGGAATACAAAAGAGAACCGAGACGGCTCAGCAAAGGAAACTAAAAGCATTTGGTTGGACCAGATCTCAACACATTTCTGGAAGAGATAAAGTAAATGAAGCTTGATGGTGAATGGGAACCATGACGGCACATTTCAGAAAGAATACGCTGACCTGACCATCGTAACCCCAAAGAGACTTGAGCACTAGAAAAGTCTAGCTACTAAATAAATGTACCAGTTGTAAATTGACCCCCATTCTACTCTGCCCCAACCCTTGTACATAGAACACAGAAAATCTACCATTGGTAGCAGTGAAGCTGTTATTGTTATTGCTGTTTGAATAAAGGAATCAAATGAACCGCCTGAGGAGAGGTAAGAATTAGTGCTCCACGTGGTGTTCTTTTCATGGAAATGATGCCCCCTAGCCTGTCTGTTAATTTTCTTCTGAGAGTAGAGACCCCTATTTACATACCCACAGCTTCTAGTCATAGCAGATTTGCTGGAGAAACAGGAGTCCTTTAAAAAGACAAAACTTAACATAGATTCTTAATGTGGATTTCCTGACAGGAATTCCAAGCATGGAAGGGACCAAGGGAGACTCATAAAAAAATAATAACTTAGGTGTATGAAGGTTGAAAAAAATATTATAAACTAAAGGAAACAAAATTCATACAGGAAAAAAATCCTTAAAATTCTGGGCATCTCTCCAAAGGGATTTAAGGTGCATTTGTAAGAGAATATATATAGTAGGAAATTTCTGAACATTTTAAAAGCAAAACAAGACTGCCAGAAATATTCAGATAGGCAAGAAAATGAAATAGAATGAACCTCCCCATATGCACAACAAAATGAAATAACCAACAATAGGAAGGAAGGAAAGAGAAATAGGCAATCACTGTTTAACCACTACTGGGTTCCCAGGAGACAGGACATTGATAGCATGGACAAACAGAGGAGAAGAAAGACTTGAGGAACACCAGACTGAGGGGACCCAGTACCAACGACATCTAGGTACAGTGCTAAGAAAACTTGGAATCGTAGGGTTAGTGAGAACATATTCAGAATGCCCAGGGAAGAGGAAACAGGCCAACCAAGCCTGGATGGGCAGAGTCTGGCCACTTCCGCAGCAACACTGACTCTACAGTCAAGGAAACAGTGGGTTCACTTTTGAAAACTTTTGTTTCCAGAATTCCATGTAGGGCAGATTGTCAAGAGCAACGTAAAACATAAAAATACCTTTTGGCAGGTGAGTTTTTAGAAACCCTCTTTCCCTCCTTTGTACTCTTATTAAGGAAGTTTTCCATCTTAAAAAAAAAAAAAAAACAAATGAGCATGAAAGTCCCTGGAAAAAGAGGAGAGAGGTAGTGGACACCAGTGGGCCTCACCCAGGATGTCTAGAGTGGGGGTTATATCTAATAGACTCACTTCAGAAGAGAGCACGACCTTGGGCTCTGAGAATTGCCAGAGTAGTACTGAGTAAAGAGACATTTGGCGATATGGAAGACATACAGTCTTTTATCACAAAAATAAATAATAATATGTGAGAATATTTAGGTTCCACTGTGAAGCGAAATAGAATGCGATAGGATTTCAAATGAACTATGAGAAGACACCAGATTGACCATTGGCAGTAGGTAAATAAGTTTCCTTTCTAGTGAGACATGTATCATGACTCGGGGAGTCCAGGCATATGGATATTTCCCACTTGGCTCGGTAAAAAGTACTCTAATAGCCAAAATAATGTAGATGCCACTTGCAGATCTTCAGCGTTCTGATCTGCCTGTGAACAAACCCTGAAAGGCTAAATGTTTTGCCCAGAACAGAAGCAGGAAGTGGTATCAGCCAGCTAAGGCCCAGCAGAGTGGAGACCGGACTAGTTTCGAGAAGAGAAGTGGAGGGAAGAGTGGGGCTACTTGAATATTCAAAGTGGGATTGAACAGACACTGTCTTCCATTAGCGGAACACAGCTACATGGTTAGCGTCCTGGTCAACGCTGAACATTAGACTCTCAAAAGAATTAAAAATGACAAATCTATCAAACATTTGGAGAAGGGCAGGCAGGGGAAAGGTGGAGATGGTGTACGTTAAATCCTTATCTTTTGTAATGGTGAATTATTAAAGATTGTCTAAAGTTAATAAGTCAAGAGATTATTGTTCAAACATGTTATTTAAAGGTAGAAAGTTAGCCAGGAGATATTGTTAAAAACATCCAGGAAATGGAATTATAGAAGGAGGGTGGGGTGGGAAATCATGTTTTCATTTCGAGTTCCTCTGTACTATTTAATTTTTTTTTTACCTTGTGCATGTATTACTTGTAAAAGTTTGTAATAAAGTGAAATAAAACATCCTTCAGGGGCTTCATACTGACAAAGATGTGGCTGAACCAGAACTATTGTCAAGCTGACAAGGGCAGCAAGTGTTGGGTTCATCTGATGTGCCCATCTAAGTGACCACTAGTCCCTTATGCAATTCTAGTCACTCTGTCTAGCATGATTCGAGCACACGTCACCTTCTCTTATTGCTATGGATATTCTACAAAACACAAAGCCTTCTGCTATTCTCACATGTCTTGTGATTAAGCTTCCTGTCTAGCAGGCTTGCAGTGTTTTCCAAATGAAGGAGTATTCTTCAAAGGGACATTGGAATTAGATTGTTAACTATTATTCTCTCCCAAGGTCTTGGTGCATGAAACACTTTGTGAAGAACCAAAGAGATTAAGATGTTCTATTGGGATCATTCCTAACCTTAACAAGTTTTACTCTTACATGGGGCCAGTTGGGATGGAAACATTACTGTCCATTTCTCTGTGTCTTTGGTATGGTTTTGGCCATGTCTGCAAGTTAAGATCTGCTTTTCAGCTATTTCCCCCTTTCCACTTGGAGGAAACTATCTTTATGCTAGCATGTTTTTTAAGATGCTTTGTGACTTGAGATTTAGTTTGGCTACTTCAGGAGAGGGTGGAAAGAAATAAGGCTTCCCTATGGTTACAATGCTGTCAAGGGGCACTGGGATTTCCTCAGCCAGAATAACTGTTTCTGGTTTTGAAAAAGTCGCAGCTACTCATGTTATATACGACAGAAGGCTGTCAGTATCTTGTGAGTTGCTCAGACAACTTGTTTTTTGTTTCATTGTGTGGTGTTCTCATAACTATCTAGCCTGATAGCATGTTAGGAACCTGTTTATTTACAACAGGAGAGTATGGTCTGACTGAGCGTGCAACAAAGGTTCCTGAGCGCCCAAGGCTTTCACAGAACAGGAGCCCTTGCTCCTCAGACAGTGGTTCCAATCTGCATTCCTCTTCACTAAGCACAAAGGACACATTTTTTAAAAATGACTATAAACTACACAAAAGATATCGTGGGCAAGGACTATCTGCTTGATAGAAGTGTTTGGAAAACCTAAAATGAAACTGGATTGGTGTTGGCTTTTCTGAGTCACTTGTTGGAAGGTGGGAAGCATCCTCATTTCCCAAGTACAGATTTTTTGCACCTTTCCTGGGGAAAACAGCAAGTTGGGGTAATGATATTCTGCACTCTCTTGGGAGAGATAACTGTATCCTTGGGGTCCATGAACTCTCCAGCCAGATCCGTTTCACAAAGATTCATAAAATGCGCTAGCAAACCTCTACAATTGGACCACATGGAAAGAGCTGAAAGTCAAAATGAACCTGAATGTTCATTTCCATTAGTGTGTGTGTGTGTGTGTGTGTGTGTGTGTGTGTGTGTGTGACCTAGTATATATAAAGGGTAGTAGAAAACATTTTCTTCGGTACCCAAATCACCTCACTGAATTTATAACCTGTGTGTGATAGGAAACTAAGCTGGTAAAAGTTTTGGCTTCATTTGACTTTCAACTTCTCTGGAAAAAAAAAATGGAACCACAAGGATAATTATCTCTCCAAGCTAAAGCAAAAGTGCTCCATATTGGGGGGGGGGGTCTAGACGGATGTCTCAGCAGTGAAGAACACTTGATATTCTTCCAGAGGATCAAGGTTCAATTCCCAGGACTCACTTGACAGCATACAACTATCTAACTTTAGTTTCAAATGATCTGATGTCTCCTTCTTCAAGCCTCTGCAAAACCATATTCACATGGTAAACCAACATACCTACAGGAAAAACACCCATAAACATTTAAAATACTTTGAAGAGAAACATTCATAGAATCCTAAATTTGGGGCTTTTGTGCAACAGCTACCCAACATTTGAGTGCCCTACTTTAGTCTAGCAAGTCAAGTCATTCATACGTGTTTCTGTACATCCACCACAATTGTTCTAGGGCCTAGAAATATAAGTAAATAAAACAAACATTTTGCTAGTCTAGTTCCCTTTCTGTTGCTGTCATAAAACACCCTGATCAAAAGCAGCTTGAGTAGAAAAGGGTTTATTTGGCTTATACTTCCAGGGCATAAGCCATCATTGAGGGAACTCAGTACAAAAACTCAAGCAGACCAGGATCACCTACCTACCCAGTGAATGATACCACCCTCAGAGGGCTGAGTCCTTCTCATCAAACAATAATAAAGGCCACTCTGATGTTAGCAATTCCTCAGTTGAAAGACCCTTCTTAGGTGACTCTAAGCTGCACAGTTTAGGTAAAGTTGACTAGTGTTACTATAAGTCTTTTCTCCAACCACCCTAGCCCTTGTTGCCACGTGGGTGCTTTCTGCCAGGCCACCCAAGTTCTGCCTGCTGCCATGTTATTGTCCCAAATAACACACAGAGACTTATATTAGGCACAAATGCTGCTTGGCCAATGACTAGGATTTCTCATCTGCTAGCTCGGTCTTAATTATCTATATATTTAATAAGACTTATCGAGGATGCCTCTCGAGGGGTCCCTCTCTTGCTGGCGGATCACATGGCGACTCCAGAGCAGAGACCAAGAGGAAGAGAGAAAAGGGACGACTTCCTTCTTGCCCTTGCTTAAATATGAGTCTGCCTGCTATGTCACTACCTGCTTGGATCTCTACTACATTTCCCAGAATCCTCCTTGACTCCTGGTCCCATCTAGCTTGCTGCCTCATTGGCCAAACAGTACTTTATCATCCGATAAGACAAACATATGCACAGAAGGACCTCCCCCATCAGACTAGGACACAGGTACTCATGGTGATATGTTCTAATATGAACATAAACATTCTAAAAGAAGATGTGTTGTGATGCATGAAGAATAAGAAAGTGGATTTCAGCCGGGCGTTGGTGGTGCACGCCTTTAATCCCAGCACTCGGGAGGCAGAGATAGGTGGATCTCTGTGAGTTCAAGGCCAGCTTGGTCTCCAGAGGGAGTGCAAGGATAGGCTCCAAAGCTACACAGAGAAACTCTGTCTCGAAAAAAAAAGAAAGAAAGAAAGAAAGAAAGAAAGAAAGAAAGAAAGAAAGAAAGAAAGAAAGAAAGAAAGAAAGAAAGAAAGAAAAAGGATTTCTGGGTGGGACACATAAAATGGGCACACTTACTGTCTTCTGTAATGTGGTCTGGGAAAGCTTCTGAAGGTGATGTTTAAGCTGATTCTAAAAAAAATGAAGCAGCAAACCATGCAATTAACTCACAACAAAGGGAAGTAAAATTACATGAAGCACATTGAAAAAACACTAAAGCAGACACTTTGGAATGTCATCACCAAGCAGCTACTTTCCCAGATGTACATCTTTTTTTCTGATATTTATTTTTATCTATGTGCATTTGTACATATCTGTGAATGTGTGTGTATGTCATGTGTATGCATGTGCCCATGGAGACCAGAAAGGGACATCAGATGCCCTGCAGTTATAGTTACATTGAGTCACTGAACATGAATGCTGGCAATTGATTTCTGGTTTCACCTTGAGAGCAGCAAGCATTCTTAATGCCCAAACCATCCTTCTTGTCGGGACATTGACCATCAGTGAGTCCCAATTCCCACCCTCTAACCCCTCTGGTATCTCAGTGTCTTCAACATTAATAAGATTATGAATGAAAATGTATATGAAGATGTGGGAATCATATTAGTCTTGTTGATTCTTTAATTATCTTTATAATTATAATTTAATTAAATCTTTATAATTTGTCTACTGTGCCTAGTGAATGTAATATTTCAGAGTCTGAGAGATATTAATTGTTAGTCTTAACTTAATTTTGCTGGATCCCAGACAGTTTAAGTCTTCAATAAAATATTAAAGTTTATATATCACCTAGAGATGGTGGAGTTTACATATGTATGACCACCCTGGTCTCTTACTAGAGGAAGAAATCTAGGCAGTAATATGTTTCTCTGCAGCAGTCATGTGTTCTAATCTGTCACTAGAGTATTAGTGGCTCCCTCTCTGGAGGGAGCCACATACCTC